GCGTCGCTGATGGCGGCCCCTCCGTGCTTAACGGGGGCCGACAAGAAAGGTGGGGACAGGCTTTTTAGCAGGGCCTGCGGCGACAGGACAAGGGGGAATGGTTTTAAACTGAAAGAGGGGAGATTCAGACTGGACAGAAGGAAGAAATTGTTTGTGCTGAGGGTGGTGAGGCACTGGCCCAGGTTGCCCAGAGAAGCTGTGGATGCCCCATCCCTGGAAGTGTTCAAGGCCAGGACAAGGCTTTGAGCAACCTGGTTTTGTGGAAGGTGTCCCTGCCCAGGGCAGGGGGTTGGAACCAGATGATCTTTAAGGTCGCTTCCCACCCAAACCATTCTATGATTCTATGAAGTACTTTGAAACCTGCCATGAGAAGCTTATTGGAGAAGTCTGATCTGAATTTACTTTCACTCCAACAGTCTTAATAGTACTTTACAGTAGAATTACTAATAGAACTACAGAGGCAAGAGATCCACATACCCAGTACTCCTGCTTACAGTAATAACCCATTCCACATTCCTCAGGAGAATCACGCCCAGTTTTTTTCCTTCAGGTCACAAGGAGGAAGAGCAATCAGACAGCAAAGGTAGATTAAGATACCGTGTAGAAGACAACTCTGAAAACGTTGACTTTGCATGCACACACACAAAACTGCTTACACAGCAACAGCCTTCTTTCAAGTACAGCCAGCTCCAAGGTACAAAACCGTGCACTTGAGCAACTGAACCAATTCCTACCAGCCCAAAGCAAAAGTGCATGGTACACTACACCTCTGCAGAATGTGTGACCTTTAAATAATTAAGTCTTTAGCAAGGATGAAGGTGCAACAGCTCTAGGTTTCCTGGCTATTTCTAAATCAAGGCTTAAGTATCCTGTAGAGGAGTCTCCTTGCACACAGTAGCAATTCAGAACAGCAGCTTACTTATTGAAAATTCTCCTCCTTGAGAGAATATCCGTGGCAATATTAAATTCTTGTAATACCAAAGCACTTAGCTACTTCATTCACAACTAGCGTTTGCAATAATCCTGCACATGAGTGGGTCCACCTGCCACACATTTTAGCAAGAAGCCTCAACCCTGCATCTGGAACCTCAGAGGATGACTTCACCCATCATTTCTGCAAACGCACTCCGTTAGTGAGCTGCTTCCATAATAAAAAAGCTTCCTAAGGCGTCAAACATCCCGTATAAAACTGCAGTAACCGTGCAGCCTTCACAATGCACCTGAAATCAGCTGCAGAGGTTTGTGTGACACAGATTTGAAAACATGAGGTCAGCAAAAACACTCGCTTCTCAGACACAATGGCGTGAATGACATCCATTACTCAACTTCCTGGATACTACTAAATGTGTTTTAAACAAAGCAACTACAGAATCTTAAGACCTTGGTTTCAAGTTTATATTCAGCTTGCCGCTGAGTCTCTTCCTATGCTGCCTTACCCCCCCCCCCCACCCACCAAAATGTGTCCCTTTCCATAAACAGTGTAGTTTCCCATTTCTCATGCTAGGAAATTAAAGTCCCAATATCACATTTTTGCTCTGTAAGAACCTTTCACCAGCCTCAACGCTTCAACTAGCAATGCCTGACAGCACCCCTCTGCTGACCCTCAGTTCTACAGGGCCATCTTCATGTTTTCTCGGAAAATAACGGAGCTGGAAAATCCAAACGTTTATTCCATTTGGGAACAGCATAACACAAGCAAGAACTAACAGCTGTGCTGCTCTCTAACATCTCAGAATTCCCAGAGAACGAAATCTTGGGGATCCAGGCACTGAATGTTTCCACATCAGTTTCTTCTGCTTCACTTGACTTTGCTTGAAATTTTACCAGCCCCCGTGTTTGGTACTCCTCTCAGAAGACAAAAATCAGCTATGCAGGTTTGAGCGGTTTGCTAACATTCAACAACAGCAGTTTGCCACAAGAACAGCCATGATAAACTTGCAAATATTTCATGACATCAATTTTGAGGGAGTGGAGGTGATTATATTTAATTATCTTTGAGGATTAACGTAGTCATCCTTATAAAATAGGTCAGTACTAGAAGTGACATATTCTATAGCTACTCTACAGCTTATGGCTTCGTGTTGCTCCTCTGCACACCACCTTATGGTGGCAGCTCCTCCTGAAGACTGCGACTCCCAGTTACTACCAGATGCATTCCTTACCTCTAAGCAGAGCCTCCAGCACAGAAACAAAGTTTGCTCATGTAGGAATTTGACATTTTAGGACACCGCTAGCCCCTGTGTAGTGTTGCCACCCTTCATGCCACTGCTGAAGGGAGGGTTGAGGGAGGGAACACAGGACATAGGCCAGCCTAAGAAAAGCACCCAAACCCCTGTGTTAATTTACGCACTACACCTTCTGCCAGGGTCGCAGCAGAAGCTGCAATCCAGAAGCTGAGTTCATCACATGCTCGACAGGTCACAACAAAGAGCTCAATTCCAGGATCTTACAGACATTACTCACCTCATCTATGTTTCTGAGCCACTTGCTGATGTTTTCAAAGCTCTTGGCATTGGTGATGTCATATACTAGCATGATCCCCATGGCACCTCTGTAATAGGAGGTGGTGATGGTGTGAAATCGTTCCTGCCCTGCCGTGTCCCTGCGGAAAACAGACAAGAGCACATATCAGAGGCAAGCTCTAAAGAAACCAGCACAGTGTAACCATTAGACAAGCGTGCGTGGCGCGGTACGTGCTCTATCGCACCACTACCGAGGGATGGGCAATGTTTTTGAGGAGCGGTAGGACCCGCTCCAATGTGCATCACCAGCAGCTTCAAGGAAGGCCCGTTGCCTCCCAGACGTAGCTGAGCACTCAGAGAACAAAAAGGGCAAGCTTCAGTAAGCCAGGCTTACAAGGGTACAGAAATTTAGGGCTTGAAGTTTCTCTTTCAGATTTTACTTTAAAGGGGATTGTTTTTTCAAAAACACGTTTCAGAGTCAACTATGAGAGAGACAGAAGACGCCGGACTGCTTAACTGGGCTTACACGACTAAGGTGGCGGAGGATGAAGCTATCTGTTGAACAGCAAAGCGGTAAGCTGCAGTAGGTCTTCTGGTGTATTACCACAACAAATAAACCCAGTATCAAGTCATGGTAGAAATTTCTTAATTCTAAACTTTGTGTTTTTATTGACAACTTGAAACTTGCACCCGAAAGGAGAAACTTTTCTTTCCGAGTCCCATATCTCAGGGAAGTGTCTCAGACTTCTGAGCGCCGGTGGGACCCAGTAGCGGACAGAACAGAAACAGGAGCAAGAAATGCTCTACCAACGCTTCAACAGGCCTGTGAGCTCCAGCGGTGCGAGCGTCTGAACAACTCCAGAAACGTCGTCGTCCCAGACACTCTCTCTTGTTACTGACCAGTTCTTCCCAAACGAACGTAAAAATAAGCCACTTTAAAACTCCATCTACAATTTTTAAGCTACGTACCATAACCACTGGCCAGCCTGATTAAACACTGCACAAACCCAACTGGCTCAGTACTCAAGTTTCTGTTCCCAAAATGCTGTGGGTTTGCTTAGCAGCGCCGCTGTCAAAGTCAGCAGAGTCTGGAACTGCAACCACCGATGGCCTGACCCAACTGTCCAGTCAACACCACCACGATGCCCAAGACGATCATGTGAGGAAAATTTTTCTCAATGAGAACAGTCAACCATTGGAATAATCTCCCCAGGGAAGTGGTTGACTCCGCGACACTGGACGTGGTCAAGACTCAGCTGGACGGGGTGCTGGGCCATCTCGTCTGCACTGTGCTCTTGCCTACAAAGGCTGGCCCAGATGATCCTCGAGGTCCCTTCCAACCTGGGATTCTATGATTCTATGAAGATCCCTTTCTACTTCAGCAGCTGCTGAGCAGCCACGAAGACAATCACTCAACATTTTCTGGAACTCAGGTTTAAAACCGAGAAGAATTTTGTTTTCAGATCAGTTTTATAAAGCTTTAACGTGATCTTACAAATTCCTGAAATTTTAGATCAAAGTGTATGAAAAGTAAATCTAGAAGATGTACTTAACTGTAACATTAAATTGTCCATTTCTATAAGCAATATGCTGAAAATTGACCACACAAGATTAACGACAGTACGTATTTTCCCCATCTAATTTTGAGATCTTTGATGGAATGCATGAGATTTGGTTAAACAAACTTGCATGCCATTAAGTTCAGAATTAAGAGTTAACTGTGTATTCTACTGTCTTTCAGAGGACATAAACCTAACAGCTTACATGTTCATAGATGCTTTTCAGTGACGGTATTCACACAAGGAGGAATCAAAGGTGTCTCCGAATTTAAACTGGTCTAAATTGAGATTAAACATTCCCTAACCACCTTCAGAAAGACACAGCGTTCCCCCACCAACCCACGTTTCCTTGCTCACAAACCAGTAACCTCAGAAAAGATCACAGACTGGACTTGGACTACCTCAACTCATTTCCCTCTGAACTGTTCCTGAGGTCACAGCGAACGCCTTGGCAGAACACGGACACCACCAGGCACTGAGTCCCGTGAAAACTCGGCTCTCCCCACCGCCCTGTCACCTACAGTTGAACCAACAAATGCTGACTGTAGTTGCCAAACCAATTTGTTTAAGCACACGTCAGATTTCTCGCCAAGTATCAGTTGGCAAAAGGGGAGTAAATGAAAAGCCCTGAAATCTGAACGTGCCACGGAGGAAAGTTTCCCGAGATGCAAGAGAAATGCTCTACGGAGTTCCTTCTCCTAGAGTCTTATCGGCTATGTTTGGCTCAGACCCCAGATCACGGTTTTGAGGCTGATTGCTCCCGAGGTTTTCTCTCTTCCTAGGAGATGGCAAACACCAGGAAGAGGGCAAAGAGTAGAGGAGGAGGCGTAGGGGCAGGTCCTAAACCCGAGCACCACTTTGTTCAGAGATGTTCCAACAGGCCACCATGTGCAGAGGTCTGGCTCGCTGGCGGTAGCCTCGAGAGGCAATCTACTCCATTCCCTGGCTCTACAAAACGTTGAGGGATACTCACGTTATTCCCGAAAGATGCCTGATGTTCTGCTGGAGACCTCTGACGACTGCTGGCTTGAATCCCCCTCTCTCATTTCCCTTCTGTCCCATTTGAAAGCGTCTCCTGATGGCACACTTGGGTTTTCCTTGGTGCAAATTAAGGCCGTCAATCCTTATCGTACCTTTGATAAGTAACCAGAGGAGTTCATTTCCCTTCTTTCCACAACTACTTTTTGCATACTCAAAGACAGCTCTTGCACCTTCTCCGAATTCTCTCAAGTCACCGCAAGTTCTTCAGACGTTACTGGCCAAAGGTCTAAGGTATGCAGCCTCACTTATTACTCTCTGGACTCCTTCCAGTTTGCCCATGCCCGAGCAAAAACCAGGACACTACTCCAGCTGAAGTCTTACCAGACTCATACAGAATATTTTCTAGAAGACTTGGGCATGCCTGTTTACGCATCCCGCTCCCTTTCCTCGTGATGAAGCAGATTTTTCTGACATTTGGGTAACTGATTACACATACTGAACTCGATAACTTCGCATTTGTCTCTGCTGAATTTCACAGGACTGTTTTCAATGACATTCCTCCAGTTGGTCAAACGCATGAATTATAATCCAGTCCTCTACACAATTTATACTTTGCAACTTCATCTTTTCTTGCTTAGCTTAAATACAGTAACCATACTCTCTGTTCCCTTATTCCAACCATTAAAGAAAACATTGCCTATCATGACGCTCAGGACAGACTCCTGCAAAATACCTCAACAGAACTCTTACTCACACATCGTTTATTTTCTCTCGCTATGAGTTTTGTATCCACTTGACAGCACCTTCACCTAAGTCGTTTCCCCCAATTTGCTTATATCAAGCAGGACAGCGTCAGCCTTACCAAAACATCACGACATACGGCATCACGATTTCTCCCCTCCTGACGAGGTCAGTAGCCATCACCGTAGAATTCAGATTGATTTTTACACAACTTGGCATTGGCAACACTCACTTGTTACTCATTGCTTGTCACGTCCTATGCGCCCACAACTAACTTGCTTAGTTAACTCCTCCCGTGTTTCTTCTGGCAACTGAAGCTAAGCTAATGGATGAAAAGAAAGCTGGGGAGGGAAAAAGCAAAGAACCTGGAGTGTTTCCCCCTCCTCCCCCCCTTTTTTTTTTTTTTAAATAAGTACTATATATTTGCCCTTTCCCCTTCTTAATGGATTCTCCATTCATTATTCAGAGATAACTCTTAATGGATGTGAGATTAGAGAAGTGACTGAAGCAAACAGAGGAAATGAGTTATGGCTTTCAAACTGCCTACAACTGATGAATCCACCCTGAGCAAATGGCACGGAACGATCCGAGACCACGTCTTGTTTACTGCCCTGGCTTGCCATTCTTTTGTTCAAACCTCTAGGATGTAAGAATATGCTCCAAAGCTTATGGATGTGCAATAAATCCTTGATGTAGGCAAAACCATTTGTGGAAGCTAGCTAAAATAAGTGTAGGCAAGGACTATTAAGGTAGACAAGGAGAACGAGGCCCTACTGCACAAGAGGAAACCAAGAGAACTTGGTTTGTTTAGCTGCAAAATGAAGACAAAGAAGGTTGCCCCGTGGGACAAGGGAAAGGAGAAGCACAAGGAAAGTGAAAAATCTATTTAAATTATTCTCATGTCAACATTAAAGTATGCATAAGCTATATCATATTAGAGGTTTAGCCAACAGGGAAAGGAATTTCTGGGACAGCTTTCCAGTTGACCTAGCAGAGACTAAAGAAACCTTAAAATGTACTGTGATTTGTTTATGAAAGATTTACACGTATGCAACAAGAAGAGATTATATCTGATGATCTGTGAAGATCCTTCCAGTCCACATAGCTCAAAATAAAGGTCGTCAACGTATTAAACCAAATAATTCCTAGCAAAATAATCCTAAGAATTTTATTACTGTCCCACTGTTTCTTCTTATAATATTTTTAAAACTACAGAGCAGAATACTGCATCGAAGGCACTGTACTGACGGCACCTGGAAGCTTTAGCGACTGGGTGGAAGACTTTCCTTCACAAAGGAACATCTGTAAGATACTTCACGACTGGCAAATTTCAGCTTTTCTGAAAAAATATTCATCCAGAAAAAAAAAAATAATCTGTAAGGAGTGCAGTATCTAATTGTTTTACAGGCAGTCGGACCGACATGCCAAAGAGTCTCTTCCACCTTGAGCTATGCACATGGTGAAGGGTCTCAAAAGCTCGCAGCAGCAAGAGTTAACTTTTAGACGTTCCTAGGCTAATTGCAAAAATCAATGAGAATGATTGTACACTAGTTAGTGGTGCTGTCTGCAGCTTTGGCTGTCCCCCACCATACTTATTAAATGCAAGAACTTGCATAGAACAGGGAATTTCCACATGTGCAACTATTTTGGATAGCTGTGCTGCTGCCCATTTCTTTCACCTGGACGGGTGTTCCAGGTCAGATGAGTATTTTTGCAATGAGCTCATTGCTGAATAAAACAAATTCTGAGGACACTTTTCTAGCCACATAAAAGCGTTCCCCGCAAAGACGCACTGCTAGAAAAACGTCACTTCATGGTCTTCTACACAGTTAAGAGCTGCACAGTAAAAAAATAAGGCT